GGAGACGTGCACCGGCCGAGGGCTCTCTTAATTAACTAACTTATTTTAGTAATAGCCTGGCAATTGCTAGGGTATACACGTGTCATTTTTTTGCGGAAGAAAAAGTGGCAGCCTGTGGAAGAAAGCTGTTGGGTCCGTGAAAGGAAAATCAGGCTCGGCAGGACAGGGAGGAGGAGGAGGAGGAGGCGGCAGTGACTATGAAGGGCGGGAAAAACCGAGATGAAGGGCTTTGCCCTTCCCGAGGCGGGGGCCGGTGAGGTAACGCGGGCGGTGCGGCCCCGCTTAGCGGCGTTATCCGTTTAAAACTGTCTCTCCGTGCGTTCCTGCTGCTGTTGTGGCTTTTCTGTGGAGATGTGTGTCAAAAATAAAGAAAAAGGGGTACACGTCTAGCATCGTTGTGATTTCAGTAAATAGCAAGATTTACTTGCTAAGGTTGCCCTGCCTCAGAGAAAGGTATGTTTTGTTCTGTAAGTTTGGAAAAAGCCCTTTTGTCGAGCATGGGGAGGTTTGCGCGAGGGACTAAATATTCTGGTGCTGTTCTGTTCTGAGAACTTGCTGGAGAGACTCCCCCTGTGCACCGGCGCTAACTCTTCTCGTAACTCGAATTTGTATGTTATAAGGCCTTCTTACTTTTTCAAATCTCACTGGAAAACACACAAATGTTTATTTTTCTTTCTTTTTTCTCCTCTTTTCTTTTTTTTCATGTAACTTCAAGGCCATTTAGTATAACGGGTATGGCATAATATTTGTGGATCTTTTATGGGAATACTGTGTTTTGCACGCCATGAGGCATTGAATGCAGCTGCAGGTCCTCATCATACATAAAATCCTTATGGGATTTACTCAGAGTGTTGTTTTATTTTCATGCTTCGATTGTGTTGCAGCATCATAATGGTACAAACAAACACAGCTTGAAATTATTGTCCTAAACTTAAGCATTTACAAAACCCAAAATGTGAAACCTAAAACATGAGACCCAAACCGTGAACCTCCCCCAGAGATTAACAGAACTGCTCGTGTAAAATTAAGCTGAGAACTGAATAGAATGAAGCATGCGTGTAAGTGCTGGCAGGGCTTGGGCACGAAGTAGTGAAAGTATCAATCGTTATCAGCCTGAACAATTTTGAATCGTAGTAAGACCAAATTTTCTATGTTTGTTATTCTTAAAGCTGCTGATAATTGTAGTGTCAAGTTCCGATTTCTTAGTTTAAATAAGTGTTGCTGGAAAGTAATAATTTTTACATTAACTTCCAATAAAAATACAAATTTTTATACTTTATGCTATGTGCTACTCAGACCCTGAAGCATCGGAACGTGCATGTGAAACAGTTCATAAACAAAATTGAGTGTTTTAATTATTCTAATGAAGTGGGTAAAGCAGAAGAGGAAAATAGGCCACTCTAATGAAAGACAACCAATGGGTTAGAGTATAAAATATTATGGAATATACAGACTTTATGGCATTTACTTGCAAATATTAAAGCGTTATGACTGATTTTTAGAAAAAGACACTCTATTCCTGTGTGAGCATTTCAGTAGGTAATCTAAGTCAGAACATTAGTTGCTGTTTGATGTTTAGTTTTAATTACAGAATTCTTGGCTGTGCTGAAACGTCTTGTAAGAAAATCTATGGAGTTAGTGTTTCTCAGTGTTATTCCTTTCTCTGCCTGTAAAGCTGCCATCCTCGCTGAAATCAGCGGAAGATCCCCACTGCTATCGGTGGGAGCTGACGCAAGGCCCTGCATAACCTCAAACATTTAATATGAAAATGGGCTCCAAAATAGACATTCAAGGAAATGCTTTAAAGCCTTCCTTTCCCCCCCCCCCCCCCCCCCCCTTTTTTTCTTTGGTTTTCATGTGGAGGGAAGACTAGTACAGTTACAAAAGTGAGATGGCTGCTTTTGTGGCTTTGATCGATTGTCGGGTTTGTGTGTTTTCTGCAGGTCTTGTCTGTTCCGCAGTCCTCTAGGCTAGTCGGAAACTTGTGGGAATGTGCTTGAGAAAGAGGTTTAACTTGCCCCGCAGAGATACTAATTGAAGTTGACTCTGTTTTCAAAACTCCTTGTATGGTTTTTATGTCAATGCTGACTCAACCGTTATCGACACCAGACTCAGGCTGGTCTATATGATACATATAGACACCAGACCATTCTGTTGTCTATATGTACCATAAATAAGCTAAAGCAAATAGGTTATTTTTGTTTATTGGCAGTTTCTGACCATGCTTTACTTCAGTTTTTCAGCATCTAAAATAGGTTTCGTAGTCTCAATTTTGTCTATGAAAGGGGCCTTAAGAAAATGAATAAGCATTTATAAATGCTTTAAGATCCTCATTGTAACATTGCTGTAAAAATGCAATATATCATGACTGCATAGCTATGTTAAATTTTCCTCTAACTTTGTCCTATTTATTTTCAGAACATGCTTGAAGAACTATTAATTCATAAGCCAGATGATCCCATTCAGTATATGATAAACCATTTAAAGCAAAACAACGATGACGGTAAGTGAAAATTGAGACACCATAAATAGTTCAATCCCTTATTTGTAAACGGCTGTTTGAAAGCTGCGCTTCAGTTGGCAAATGATGGATAAAACTTTTCAGACTGTGTCTTGAGGGGGGAGGAAAAAAAAAAGAAAAAGGTGAGCATTTTGGAATAGTTATAGGTAAGATGCTTTTAATTTCTTTTTTTAGTGGGTAATCTAATAAAAAATGCACTTTAACAGTTATAACAATGAAACCCTCTAAGGGAATAACAAAGAGTTCTAGTGTATCAATTATTAATGCGTTCTGTGCCCCATCTGATATTTCCTGTTGTCTTTAAGCTCGCTAATTACTCCTTTTGTCAGGTGTAAATTTGGTTTCCTATTCTACCTGGGCTGGCAGATTCTCTGGTTTTTGATTAGTTAGTTACTAGCTGCTGTTAATGAGTTCCACTGCTCAGTGGCATCTCAGATGAAGGAACAGTGAGCATGCCTACTTGTATGTATAACAAAACCTGGTAAATTGAATAGGAAGCCTGTATTCTGCACAATAAAAGCATGTATACTCAATCAAACTATTTGATTTACAAACTGTTCACCCTTAGGCAGATTATATTTGGATATGCACAACTGAACTATAATTTTTGTTCTGCATGAGCTGTCAGGGATAGCTGGTGTCATGTTGCTTTGATGTTTCTTTAAAACCATAGTAAACCATTATGAAAGTTCTGCTGCAGCATCGATGAAATTATTATCACTAGAGGTGCTGTGAGCTCATAGTGGTGGTGATCAGATGGATGTTGATTGAAATGCTGCTAAATATATAAAAAAAAAAAAAATCAAATCCTGCAAATTGTGTCCAGCCTTTTTTGATGCGGGCAGCATGAGTAATCAATCTGTTTTATAGACCCATGGAAAATATGCAGAAGAATTTCATGCGGTTTGATAGAATGCTGATAAAATTTCTTCACGTTGAGCTAACATTTGTCCTGAAGCCCCACAGTATTATTTGAACAGAATTAGGCAGGTTTCCATTTCATGACTTCAGTACTTAGAGGCTAAAGATAGAACTACAGCAGTTGTTTGTCGAAGGAAAAATGCTGTCTGGTTTTGGTCTGGAAAAACCTATTAAGAAAGGGAAGGAACTCCAATTAAAATTAAAGCCTAAATGTTTTAAGAATAAATTATGTGGAAAATAATGTAACAGAAATTTGTAGCAGAGTTGATTTTACTTTTTGATCATGGCGGAAGGTGCTGACTATTTAGAAGGAAAAAAAAACCTTATTAGAGCCATCAGTAAAGTGATGAATTTTCATGATCTTGCCTTGCTAGACAGTTTTAGCCCTAGAGAAAATTTCAAACAGAGATGTGTGGAAAAGAAGCATTGCATCTATCCCAGGTGTGAAGTTAGAAAACCTTTTTAATTAATAATAGGATCTAAAGTACTCTTAAAAATATAAACAAGTCTAATGATGATTATAGCTTACAACTGTCTTGAAAATCTTGTAGGTCAAATGTGTGGCTAAGCGTTTGCGCTTAAGGCTCTGTACTATTGTTCTTTCATGTGATCCTTCTAAAAACCTTAAAGTACCATATGAAGGCTGATAACTCTTTCATATACAAAGATGCTAGTTTCCTATGTTGTATCTTGGTTTGTGCTAATAAAAAAAGCTTTCAGGATCCAAGTGGCATTTCTGTGAATTCTTCCTTTACAGTCAAACCTCTGAAGAAATGTAAAAACGTTCTGCAAGAATGTTCTTCATGTACTGTGTGCTTTTCCTGTTTGACAAAGGATTTCTCTTACAAGTTAAGCAAATTTTGTTACATTAATATTAATCATAGAACCTTTTGGACTTGAATGGAAGTCAGTGAGCCCAGTTGCTCCAGGATTAATTTTGTTATAGCTAAAATCATTGTTGAATGTTAAAACTTACTTTACTTGGAAGAGTTAATCCTGTAACATCTCATCAAGACTAAACATGGAATGAAATACGGTTTGTTACTGAAGAAAAAGGCATTTTTCTAGATTTTCCTGACGTCGTTTAGCTGCTGGTTCAGACCTCCCGTATTAAATACTCTTTGCTGATTGGAGGGGGTTAAACATTACATACAGTGGTGTCCTGGTTGTGCCCTTGTGTCATATGTTTAGGGAGAATGCTTTAGAGGAGTCTTACAAGTGTGCAAATGAGTAAATCAGTGAATCACACTGCCCCATCTGCTGCCAGCCACTAAGCAGAGAGAAAAACAGATTTAGTACAAAGTGAGCATTTACAGTAGCCCTGGGCAATATTAAAGCATGATATGGTGTATATAATGGTATGTTTCGTTTTTTATCAAACGTTTGTCCAAGAAAGCTGTGTATTAAAGCTTCAATACCTAAGGGTTTTCTTGTGAATTTTAAATCATGCTCCTAGTTAAACCTCAAAAGGATCTGTGGATGGAAAGGTTTTTTGATTTTCTTTGAAGTGGTTTGAAGAAGTTGATTAGTGTTGGCACCCGAGCACTCTTTTATGACGCTGTTTATAAATAATTCCTAAGTACCGGGCTGGAGTTTCAAGGTGTTAGATTAAAAAAAAAAACCCTAGGATTTAATCACATTACATTTGAAAGAAATTAGGTGATAAAAACAGCTGATGTATCCTTTTAAAGTATTTTTCTACATTGTGTACTAGTTCTGTTGCACTTGCAAGAACCAATAAGGGGGGAGTTTTTCTTAAACCTTCCAAGTCAGATAACTTTGTAAAGATGAATCTGTAATTTGGGTTTCATGTATGTTTAAAAATTGCACCTGCCCAATAACTGTTAAGTGCATGGAAGGCCTCATAAAAATACATTTCACATCCTTCCCTGTCTGCTGCCATCAGACACTGTATCTCCCTTGGTTATAAAGAGCTGAAGAGGTTTTTGGGTGAGTAGATCCCTCCTCTGTTTTGACCTATGTTACTCCCAGTAAATACTCATCAGTACCTTCTGTATATAGTGTGGTTTGGTTGGTTTTTTTTCCTGAGATTTAAGGGAAAAAACATCAAAGATGTTAATATAAAGTGACAGCTCCAGGGATTGCAGCCCAAGGTGTGCTCATGAAAAAAGTCCCAAATACTTTTTCCTAAGAGTTACTTCATTTTCCCTTGTTTGTCTTGCCTCTAATTCATTCCCAATGAAGCTTACAACGGTAATGCCTATTGTGTTGTCTGTACGCATTAGATTAAGAATTCCTCAGAACTGGGATGCATTTTTCCCACCTTGCCCCCTCAGGGAAAGGAGAGGGATGTGCAGTAGAGAAACGCAAGATACAGAGATGAAGAAAATTACTTTTAATGACGACTAGAAAAATTGAAGGTAGCTGTCGAAAAGGGTAGAGAGAGTGCTTAATTTTGCAATATCTAAATCTTCTCTGAATCCTGACACAACCTATTTAGATGAAACTAAAAAGTGAAATTGCATTTTTTGTGACGAGAGCCAAAAGGTTTGCCGAAGTAAAAAGTATTTTTACTACCATACTATGTAAGAGAAATGAGAGATGATCTCAAGAAGTGCCATCCAATCTCAACCGTTCTATGACTATAATAATAGTAACTTTTAAATAGTCTTGTCCTGCATGTACCAGCTAAAATATTTTTTCATCACAAAATGTGTTAGGTCTAAATCAATGTTTTGGGAATAAAAGTCAAACTCAGATAAGGAAATGTTCATATCTTATGCCTGGTTCACCCACTAAACTATCCATGTGTTTAAATTGATTGATATATATGCTTAAGTGGCATGTTTAGTCAGAGTATTAATCTTATTGACCATGGAGATGAAAGGAAGGCCCAGCTGTCACTGACTTAGTGTTTCCCCTTTTTTTTCCCCAGTGGAGCCCAATCCTGAAGTCCCCATTCAGGCAGATTTCCAACTGAAATAATTGTTTCATTGTGATTACATTTATTTTATGCAATGTGATAGTGGGGAAACTGGTTGGGATTTTTGCTGTTCTGTTTCTTGACGTTCACATATTCTTGTTTCATAGCTCCAAGAATTTGTGTACTTGGTCCATCTGCCTCTGGGAAAACCACAGTTGTAAGTATGCTACCTTCAATGCTATAATACTGTCCAGTTACCTTTTTACTTTCTACTGGGATCAGCACTTCTGAAAATTTTATTCTGAGAAAATAATTTTTGGAATCATCAAAGTGATAGAAGAGCACAGGACAAGTCGAAGGGTGGCGTTCCTAAGGGGTATGCCTGTATGTTACGCTACAGGTTAAATGGCAATGTTCAAGTGAGCTCTGCGAGAACTCGCTCAGTGGCAGTGATACTGCTGTAATGCAGCAGAATTCCGCCTGCCTTTTTTTCCCAGCTTTTCCGCAGGATTA